CACCCAGCAGTGTAGCTGGCTAGCAAGTCCTAGATATCCTTTTGTCTCTACTCACCTCCTCACCAGTGCTGGCATTTCATGTACCACTCTGTTCAACTGTTCCATTTCATTGTTTTTTTTTTTCTGTGATAAAATAATCTGACAGAAAGCAATTTATGGGGAAGAGGGTCTATTTTAGCTCAGATTCCAGGTTCTAATCCATCATTTAGAGGAAGCCACGGTGTCAAAAATGTGAAGCAAGTAGTCATATCGTGTCCACAGTCTACAGCACAGAGAAATAAAAGCATGGATGCTTGCTTTCTCCTCTCTTATACAGTTCAAGACCCCTTGCCTAGGGAATAGTGCCACCCACAGTGGGCTGGGTCCTCCCATAACAGTCAACAATCAAGATAACCCCCACAGACATACCCATAGGCCAACGTGATCTAGACAATTCCTCAGTTATGTTTTTGGTTGTGAGCCTAGCCTTTAACGGCTGAGCCATCTCTCTAGCCCAACAATTCCTCAGTTATAAGTGTCTCTCTAGTTAGTGTGAAGTTGAAAATTAAAATTAACCATCATGTTCATTTTTTAACAAAAGTTTTGGGGATTGAATTCAGGTCATCATACTTGCACTTCAAGTACTTTCTAAGGACAAACCCACTAAAAACAGTATTGACTATAAGAATGATTAATGGGCAAACATTTCTTTTCACAGGCTATAAAATATTACTCACCATTTTTGACAAATCATGTAAATAAAAGCAATGGTGTTGGAAGGAAAGATCAAAATTTTATGGCTACAAAATGTAATCAGTAAAGATAAATAAACCAGTATAAATTAGCTTCATAGAGATTGTACTATAATAGAAAATGTCTTAGATGTCCAAAGAATGCATATGTAAGGGATACATTCTCTACTATCTACTAAATAGAACACAATTACATCAAAAGTAGAAAAGAGAAACATAAAATTATGAAAGATGGGGCATGAGTGATTTTTTTTTTCAGAAGAAGGTCTCATGTTGTCAAGATCAACTTCAAAGTTGCTCTGCAGCCAAGAACCACCTTGATCTTCTGATCCTCTTTCCTCCACCTCCCCAGTGCTGGTGTTATGGGCACAGGCCACCAGCCATGATTTATGTAGTGCTGAGACAGAACCCAGGGCTCTGTGGATGCTAAGTATGCCCATCCACAGCCACTGTGGTACAGTCAGTCTTGAGAGAAATTTTAAAATGTGGGTCCACTGTGCATAATTACATGCCAAAAATAATGAGAAGCTTGTGGATCGTTCTCAGAAATGAATTGTATAAAGTCCTAACAGTACCTCAAGAAAATATGTAAGCTGAATTGATGGGTCATCATGGGAGAAATACCTGTTGGTGCCATGTTCCTGTTTTATAGTGATGTCTTTCAAAGCTTTAAGAGATGGTGGTATCCTGACAATAGAGATGACATAAGCTGCTCGGCTAGGTTTGTTTTGGTGTTAGTACCCTATGTTAGACAGTCATGTGTCAAGAGGCACTGTTGTTAAGAGGAGGGCCTATCTGAGCTTGAGGCTGAAGATGTTTCAGTCCATGGTCCCCTGGGTCTGTCAATATTTTAGGTAAAGTTGGAGGAGGGTGGTAGGTGAAAAATCACTCATCAGAAGAGAAATAGAGAGACAGAGACAGAGAGAGACAGAGTCAGAGATAGAGAGAAAGGTAAACACAGACACACAGAGAGAACAAGAAACAGAGATGGAGTTGGGAGGAGAGAAAGGGGATGGGTGGGGGCAGGAAGAAGGGAAGGAGAGGGGGGAGCACAGATTCTGAAAGAAAAGAAAAAACAGAAAGACAAGGACACACAGAGAAGAGTCTCAGGTCTTAAGAGACACTCTCCCAGTGACCTACCAAGCAGGACCCACCCCCTAATAGCCCATTCGGCTATGGATTCATTAATGGATGATGAAATCAGCACCTTTGTGATCCAGTCTGTTTTCAACATCACCAGCAGCTAGGGACCTAACCTTCTACCCATTGCCACTGGAGGAAATTTGATCTACAAGCCACAGTATATTTTGTTTTGTTTTGTTTTTCTAGACAGGGTTTCTCTCTGTAGCCCCGGCTCTCCTGAAAGTCACAGAGATCCACCTGCCTCTGCCTCCCCAGTGCTGGGGTTAAAGGTGTGTACCACCACTGTCCAGCTTGTCACAGTATATTCTAATGATTATAAGACTCAAAAGCAAAACAGTGGAGGCAGGAAAGCTTTATTTTCCTTTTTCTAGCCCCTAGCCAGTCCTTTTGCCTGGCTTCTAAATGGCAGAAAGCTCTTACAGTGGTATAATTTTTTCTAGGCACTCCGCCACTTACACTGGCCTTCTAAGATGTAGTGACTCATCCCGTCCCCCCAAAGAATCCATTTGATGTCAACACTATTCATCTCTGACCATGGCAAAAGATCTAATCTATTCTAACTTTACTATGTTGCCCTCATAAAACACTCTGATCCAAAGCAACTTGGGTAGGAAAGGGGTTATGTGGCTTATTCTTCCAGGTCTCCGTCAATCATTGAGGAGTCAGGGCAGGAACAAATAGAAGATTTCATTCTCAACTAACTTTCTTATACAGCCCAGGGCCACCTATCCATGTAATGGTACCACCCACGGTGGCCTGTGTGTGTGTGTGCGCGCACACACACACACACACAATCAGTTAACAGTCAAGGCGATCCCCCACAGATGTACCCTGAGCTCATCTGATCAGGACCATCCTTCCATTGACATGCTCTCTTGAGTACTTCAGGCTGTGTCAAGTAGATAGTTAAGCCTAACTAGGACAGGATCCCCACTTTTGCATCAGAATTATTCTCTACATTCTTTGTGCCTCGTTCCTGCACATGGGTTACATTCTCCTTATTTACCCAAAGTGAAGGAACATGGTACCTGGCTCTGTGTCAAATTAATTCTCAGTCACTAAACTACAATGCACAAAACACATCCAAAATCTGAATGCCCATCTACTGCTGTGACTCATGCGGGGCTTTCAACTACAGTCATCACCGTTTCTACAACAAGTTTCAGTAACTCAAGTCAGTTTCCTAGAACTGGGTGCCTACTTCTCAGATGCTTGAAAAGACAGGAAGGAGAGAAAAAAAGTGTAGAACTTGGCTTTCAGTGTTGTGTGGACTTGTTTCAATCATGGATTTCCGTGCTCCCCCTTGGTGCGATGGTTAATTGATCTTGACTGTCAGTTCGATAGGATCTAGAATCACACAGGACACAAGCCTCTGGAGCATGTCTGTGAGGAAGCTTCCAATTTGGTTAACTGATGGAGGTAAATCCACCTTACATCCCATGGGCTGAGGTCCTAGGCTGAATACTAAGTAGAAAGCGAGCTGAGCACCACCATCCATCTCTCCGATCCCTGATGCAATATGACTGGCTGCCTCAAGTTCCTGTTGCCATGCCTTCCCCGCTGTGGTGGACTGTTTCATTTTGAACTGTGAGCTCAAATAAATCAGTGCTTCCTTACCTTGCTTGGTCAGGTGTTTTGTCATGGCCCTGAGAAAAATTAGTGAATCTACTGTATTATGCCATCTTCCATCACTGTGGTAAAATCCCTTCTGCAGAAGAGACACTGATACAGGCCCTGGTTTTGGAAAGGCAGAAGAAGCATGGTACTGCCTCTCACTTGCCCCTAATGAAGGTCTTAGGGTAGATACCACCACAATGGCAGGAATACAGGAATACATGCAGGTGAGATCACATGGCAAGACCGGAAGTCAAAAAGTGACGCTGGGGTCGGGATTTTACAAGTTATACTTGTGGGGCCGGGGAAATGGCTCAGTGATTAAAGCACTTGCCATGCAGACATGATGGCCAGAGTTCAGAGCCTTAGGATGCAGGGAACTGCTCAGTGGCGATGGTGAAACTCCTGTAATTCTTACTTGGAGATGTGGAATCTGAGTTTGATTAAGAGATGCTGCTCCAATGAATTAGATGGAAAAGTAATGGAGAATGATGCAGGCATCAACATCAGGACTCCGCATGCATGTGAACCCACGTATATATGCATGTGCACACATATACATAAACTCACGTGTGAATCCATGCACATGCAAGCGCGCACGCACACACACACACACACACACACACACACACACACACACAAACGGAAAAGAAACTAAGACCTATCTTGAAACTGAGGCACCATTTGTAGCAACATCTCCAGTGACCTAACCATCCACCAGGTCCCATCTCTTTAAAAAAAAAAATTATGTGTGTGCATATGTGGTCCTAAATATATGTGTGTGTGCACCATGTGTATGCATGTGCTCTCAGAGATCATAAAAGGGAGTCTGATCCCCTTGGGATGGAGTCATAGATGTGAGGAACCAAACTCAGGTCCTTTGGACTGACAGAAAGTGTTTAACCATAGGGCAATCTTTCTAGCTCCATGTCCCACTTTTAAAGTTTCTCCCTACCCCAGCATCATAACTGAGCACAAGGCTCCCAACACAGTAACTCTGTTGGAGGGATGGTTGGGAGGGAAACTACATTCAGACCTTAACAGACATGTATAAGTTCACACTTCAAAGCAAAATCGGAACTGCTGGTTCCTTCGGAAATGATGAAAAAAAAATTGAAACATATGCATTGTCCAAAGTGGAAACACAAGATGGGAATGACCGGTTTCTTGGAAGATGATAGAATGTTAGAAACATATGCACTGTCTAAAGTATGGCCCCATACTATAGTATCTAGTACAAGGAGGGTTGACAGCAGATGGCTGGTTGGTGATCAATCCAACTAGAAAGCAGCTTTTACTTTTTGTCTCCTAAATCAAGGAGGCTATATTTCACTTAGTTCATCCCCAATAAGACCACACATATGGTCGGAGCTGAGCAGGATGGAAAACTGCTCATCTGGTACCCTGAAACTCATTTTCTTAGGGAGCTTTCCAGCATGCTGACTGACAAGCACCCCAGCTGAGTTTGCACCCCTGTTTTCACAGCCCTCTTCCTGTTCTTTGTCTCCACAGTTTGACATGCAGAGAGTCACCCTGGAAGAGCTGAAACACATCCTGTACCACGCCTTCCGGGATCACCTAACGATGAAGGACATTGAGAACATCATCATCAATGAGGAGGAGAGTTTGAACGAGACCTCGGGGAACTGCCAGACGGAGTTTGAAGGAGGTGGGTGCCTCTGCCTCAGTGACTTCCCCAGGGCCTCCACATGCCCTATAGTTACAGTCTTCAGGACAAGAAGCAGACTTGTCCCAGAGCTTAAAAACTCAGGGCCAAGATAATAGGTCAGCTTAGGGATGACATGGTGGTTTAATTCCACCTTATGTTTTTGTTATCACTTCCTCCTCCTTTCGTTTTTCTTTTGTGTGCAGAGGTTGGGTCCATGTACCCCTGTGTGTGCAGGTGCATGGGGATGGAATACAAATGCCTGTTCCTGTGGAAACCAGATGTCCATGCCAGGCATCTCCCTCTATGAGTTCTCATTTTGTGAGACAGGGCCTCTCACTGAACCTAGAGATCACAGTTTTTGGTGGGGTTGGCTGACCAGTGAGTTCCCAGAACCCACATCTTTCTGCTTCCCAGTGCTGGGAGTTACAGACCTAGAGAGCTGTGACTCTAGGGAGTTACAGACCTAGAGAGCTGTGACTCTAGGGAGTTACAGACCTAGAGAGCTAGGGATCAAAACTCAGGACAGGACCTCGTGCTTATACAGGAGGCACCTGAAGCCGACAGAGAGCCATTGCCCTAGCCCCCTCTTTCCATCTCCTTCTCCTCTTCCTCCTCCTTCTTTTCTTCTCCTCCTCCTTTTCCCCTCCTCCCCTCCACCTTTCTTGTTCTGCTCCTCTTCCTCCTTCTCCTCCTCCTTTTTGTTAGATTTTGTTGCTGCTGCTGGTGCTATTTTGGCATCTTTATGAGACATGGTCTTCATATTTGGCCTAGCCTATACTTAAATTTCTTTGAACTCAAGATCCTCCTGCCTCAATCTCTAGAGTTCTGGGAATATGGCACACACCGACATATGGGGCTAAAACTTCCAGAAGATTTTATATGGAACTTGTCTTTCCTGGGATCATTCTGAGTCTGGGGCTGGCTCTGTGGCTGTTTGCCTTTGCTCATTGGAGGCTAGCTGCCTCTGGGATGATGGAAGGAGCCTGCTGAATCTGTCAGAAGGCTTGGACCAAGTTCATTGGCTAATTGAATGACCTTGGGCGAGCTGTGTAACTTGTCTGTGTCCCCTCATCTGCATATGTCAGGATAATTACAGCTGCTTCACAGAATCCCTGGGAAAGGATAAGCTCTGGGCTCCTCAGATGCATTGACCAGAAAGAACTCAGGGATAGAGCCCTTTCAGCAACCTAACCAAAGGGCTAACGGAAGGAGCGAGTCATCTGAACTCCGAGGAGAGACACAGGAAGGATCCACTTTTCTTGGCCTCATGGAAAAAAAAATATGAGGGGAAAAAGCTTTTCCCTTAGTCACTCCAGACTTCCTGGGAAGCTAAACAATTCTGTCCCTCTTCCAAGCTTTGAAAATCAACTGTTTGTAGGGCTGGAGGGGTGGCTCAGTGGCTAAGAGCCCTACAGTTCTTGCAAAGGCCCCAAGTTTGGGTCCCAGCACCCACATCAGGGGCATCCCAACCACCTGTGTCTCCAGCTCCTGTGGACTCTGAGGGCACCTCACATCACACATGAGCACACGCACGTGCACTCACGTGAGCACACACAGACACACACTCAACTAAAAAAATTAATGCGAAGAAAACAGCTGTTGTAATGAATAGAGGAAAATTGATATGTTGTAATTGCATTAAATATAATAGTTAGCCATTAGCAGATTTTTTTTCTTTTACATACTTAGTGAGACTTCGTGGAGGTTAATTAATTAATCAGTATTATTCTTTGCAGTACTGAGGTTGGAGGTGAACCTGAGGTCCTGTGCGTGCTAGGAAAGCGCTTTACCACTAAGCTACGCAGTCTCAGCCCTCCTTTTCCTTTGTTTAAAGTGAATTTATTTATTGCTGTGGCTGGGTGGGGGATGGGCGGGTGACACATACGCCATGGTGCACACATGGAGCTGGGGGGACAACTTGTGGGAGTTAGCACAGTCCCTTCCACCAGTTGAGACTCAGGGGTGAAACCCAGGTTGTCAGCCTTGATGGCAAGCGCCTTGGCCTGCTGAAGCATCTGTCTGACCCGTCCATTTACTTTTTGAGATAGGGTCTTGTTAAGCTCCCCGGGTGGCAGGATGTTCACTCTAGTTCAGGGCTGCCTTGAACTTGAGATCTGCCTGCCTCCCCCTCCCTAGCAGCTGGTATTAATGTTTGTACTACCAGGCTCAGTTTGTTTCCTTTCTTTTTTTGAAAGTGTGTGTGTGTGTGTGTGTGTGCTATCTGTGTTCAGGTGCCTATGGAGGCCAGAAGAGGCCATCAAAACTGGGTCCCATGGAGCTAAAGTTACAGGTGGTTGTGAGCTGTGTTGGGAACCGAACTTGGGCCCTCTGCTGGAGCAGCAAGTGTTGTTAATTGTTGAGCCATGTCTCCAGCCCTTGCTCTCTGGTCTGTGAACACCCAACAAGACAAGACCCACAGTGGTCAAACTGTTATAGCTAATGAGAACAGTACTGGGTCACCTCAGTTGCTGCATTACAGGGGGCCAGGGAGAGGAACCTGCCCTGGGAGGAAGTGGATGGATGGGAACTTCCACATGCCTACCAATTGCTGGATACCTGGTTGCAGGTTGGATTGGAGCCTCAGCACAGTTCTGAGATAGGAGTCACTTCACCCTCATGGTGATAGATGAGGTACCTGAAGAGTTCAGCGAGGCAAAGCCCCTCATCTAAAGGCAACAGTAATTAAGTAATGACCTTCATCTGCTGGATGTTGCTCTTTCTGTCTCTGTGTGTGTGTGTGGGAGGGTGTCCTGTGGAGGGGAGTTGTACATGCCCGTGTGTGTGTGTGTGTGTGTGTAGGTTAGATATTGACATCATGTGACTACTCACCTTATTTTTTTTTGAGTCTGAGCCTCTTGCTAAAACTGAAGTTCATCCATTCAGCTACCCTGGCTGCCAAGCAAGCCCCAGAGATCCTGCTGTGTCTCTCCTGGGCACTGGGATGACAGATGTGTGCCGGCGTGCTTGGCTTTCTAGATGGGTCTTAGGGGATCTTAATTGGGGTCTCCATGCTTGCTAAGCATGCACTTTTCTCTCTAAGCCACCTGCCCAGTCCCCTGGTTTCTCCGTTTGTCACTATAGGTCCTTTGCTGGAGCCATTTCAAAATCTCCCTATGAAGTAGCATTCCATTATCCTTTTCCATTTTCCGTCTCACTGCCGGTGAAATCATACCGTATCTGGAAGTCAAGTAGAAAAGAACTGCACGGCTGTGTGATCCTCTCAAGACACGTTCCACACGCACTGCTTTCTCTAATTGGAGTCCCGCCCTTCAGAATTTCCCTAGATACTCTGACGATGGGCACAGGAGAGGGGCGTAAAAGGAAAGTCACCACCTGGGTGTGATGGTTAGCTTTTTTTATATTTTATTTTTATCTCCAAATATGTGTGTATCTGAGTGCCTAAGTATAGCTCTTTATGAGGCCAGAAGAGTTAGAGGGAGATGCTTGATGTGGGTGCTGGAAACCAAACTGTAATTCTTAAGCGAAGTACATGTTCTTAAACTGCTGTGACATCTCTTCAATGCCCGGTGAGAGAAGATCCTCAGTGTGGGCTTGCCTAGGTCAGGTTGTCTGTCCGGGGATTGTCTTAATTAAGCCAACTGATAGGAGAAGACCCAGCTGCTGTGGGCAGCATCGTTCCTTGAACAGAGAAAGCTAGCTGAGAATAAGCAAGCAAGAATCCATGGGTTTTCTTTCTCTGCTCTCAACTGTGGATATGATGCTTCAAGTCCCTGCCTCAACTTCCTCGCAATGATGGCCTGTAATGTGGGATTGTGAGCCAAAACAAACCCTTTCTTCCCTAAATTGCTTTTTCTTGCAAGCATCTGTCACAGCAACAGAGATGAAAGTAGGACGTGGAGAAATAAGTAGTTTCTGGAAAAGAGATGGCTGAACTCAGGTCTTTGCGCCTGCTGAATTTCCATCTGATTAAAGAGGAGCAAATGTCAAGCAAGGAAGAGCTCTGGAGTCCTCGGATACATCTCTGTCCTGTGATATGACTCGAATATGAATGTCACATAGGCTCACGATATTATCATCATCATCATTTTGTTTTGTTTTGAGACAGAGTTTCTCTGTGTAATCTTGGCTGTCCTGGAACTTGCTTTGTAGACCAGGCTTGCGCCACCACCACCTGGCTTAGATTTACAATGTTAACACTGGTCCCAAGATGGTGATGCTATTTTGGGAGTTCTGGAGAGTTTATGGGCTGGGACGTCATACCTGAAATGAGGTGACCTGAAGGGGTATGTCACTGGGGTTGGGTCCTCTGGTCACTTCCTGCCTCACTCCGGGCTTGCTAGTCAGCTATGACGTGGATGGCCCTCCTCTTCTATTTCTTCTTTCACCGTGATGTTTGTCCCAAGCACATGGGACCAAGAGACTGTGGACTGAAATCCCCAGAGCCATGAGCCCGCATTCACCTTTATTCCTTGATTTCTGTCAGGCACTTGGCCACTTTCATGGTTAATTTTCCTGCCGCTGTGATAAAATATTGTCACCAAAATGACATAAGGGAGGAAGGGTTTGCTGGACTCTGTTCCGGGCTACAGTCCACCATGCTGAGGAAGTCCAGACAACAGAAGCAGGGAGCAATGAGCCCCCCTGCTCACCTAGCTTGCCCCTCTATGCACTCCAGGCCCAGGGAATGGTGCTGCCCACTTTTAGTGTTCCTCCCACCTTAACCTAATCAAGATCATCTCTCACAGGGCTGCCCAGAGGTTTGCCGGCTGGGTCACTGGAGGTCCAGTCAAGTTGATAAGTAATATTAGCCAGCACAGTGACACTAGTAAGAAATGTAATATGCTGTGTGGTCCTCATGTCATTTGGTCTGAGTTTTATTTATTTATTTTTTCTCGTCTATTCAACTCAAAGTTTTGTTTTTGCTTTTTGAGGTTTTTTGTTTGTTTGTTTGTTTTGTTTTTTTCAATGGTAGTTATACTTAGATACAAACATGTCAGGGCACAGCGGCTAGTCAGGGAGAATTCTGTGGTCACATCCAA